GAGTGTTTGCCAGTTGGAACAGTAGTTGCATTGTTGGATTTTGCAGAAAATTATTCATTTATCTGTCAGGATGCAGTACAAGGCTTCCACTTGGAAACATCACAGGCCACATTGCATCCATTTGTAGTGTATTATCATGAGCTACCCAGCAATGACCTATGCTGCTTGTCTCTTTGCATTATAAATGATGACCGTGAACATGTAGCAGGTACAGTCCATGTCTTCATTGAAATAGTGCTGACATTTCTCAGGAGCAAAATGCCTGATTTGCAGAAAATAGTTTACTTCAGTGATAGAGCAGCAGCACAATATAAAAACTGCAAAAACTTAAAGAACCTGTAGATGCATAAAACAGATTTTGGTATTGAAGTGGAGTAAAATGTTATGGATACCAGTCATGGAAAAAGTCCTTGTGATGGTATTGGTGGTACAGTAAAGAGGTAGTGGCAAGAGCAAGTTTGTAGGCAACTCTGTAACATCAAATACTAACGCCACATCACATCATGTACGATTGGGCAAACAAAAACATTCCAGGAATTCACTTCTTTTTTGCAGCAAAAGATGATGTCGAGGTGCATCGTAGCTGTTTGGTTGAACTATTTGCTTCAATTCAAACTGTTCCTGACACACGGTCACACCACCGGTTTGTGGCAGTAAGTGAAAACAAACTGAAGATATTCAGGTTGTCATGTGATGACTTGGGTACAATCAGCAATGTGTCACCAGAACCTGACCTGGCAGCTGAACCGGCACCAAGTATAACAAATTTGCATCCAGGACAGTTTGTGGCTGTTGTTTATGACACTGATTGGTTTATTGGTTGCATAACAGAACATTCTGATAAACATCAAGATATCTTGGTAAAGTTCATGAACAGAACACCTACAAACAGATTAGCTTGGCTACATCGTGAAGACATCTGCTAGATACTATTCACTAATGTGCTGTGCAATCTTCCACCACCAATGTTGTCTGGCAGTTCAGCAAGACAGTATTTCTATGATGATGAGCATTTTGACAATTGCAAGAAACTGTTTGATAGTAGAAGTGTGCGTAAATAGATAAGATACCAACAGTTAAATGCATTAGCACCATACACTGATATCGCTTTACATGGTTGCTTGTATTGTTGATAAAAACAGTCTATAATTTGATTTTGTAACTTAAACTAACTATTTTTTCATAAAATTTAATTGACAGTTCATTGCTTTGATGATTTACCACAATGCACTTTAATGTACAAAAAATATTAAAAAAAAAACTTTATGAAATATGGTTTTAATTTGCAAATGATTTAGTAAGAAAGGCTTAAGAATCCAACATGAAATTTTCACCATAGCTAGTACTTACTGAGGTTAATGAGTGTGCAAAAATATGAAATATGTGAATTACTGTCAACATGGTCATCTGGGGGTCGCAATACACACAAAAATTGATGACTGTGATGCATAACAGTGCCTACAATGAGTACACTATTATTGATTAACAAGAATTTTCTATGAAAATAATAAACACATATATGGTACTTATTAATGGTATAACAAACATTATTCCATGTTTTATAGGTTCTTGGCTATATCGGGTCAAATATTGGGGAAAACTGTCTGAAGTGCAATGTTTGGACATTTTTAGGGGATATTGTATGCAAGCTACATTTGATATAAAAACACCATTCAACTCAGCATGAAAAAATGAATAAATGCTGAAAATTTCAGCCTGATACCTGTTTTAGTTTTTGAAACATTCACGTTCAAATATCGTGAAAATGTAAGTCACATGAAGTCGTGACAACCCTTAAAACTTTAAAAAATCATATCTCAGAAAGTTTTTAACCAAATGGCCTAAAAATTTCAGCAATTGCTTAACTTTGTATGTACTACAAGCCCTCGAAATTTCAAGAAGATCTGAGATAGTGTGGTGAACAATTGATATGGAATGACTCAATGATAGGAATAACTATAAGTAGTTTTACTGTTTAATTTATTATCGGTGTGAGTAACTGTCATAATTATGTCAACAAATTTTCTAAAAACCAATACAATTATAATTGCCATCGTTGTGGTAAGGATAATGTGATAAACCAATTAAAATAATATTACAAATTTCGTCAATTTATTAGACATAAAGCACAACAACAAGCAGCAGTATTATAACAAACAATGAATACAAACATATTATAATAAGGAAAAGAATGTGCAGAACTACTTAACCCGTTAACAGTCCATGCCATAATATTACGCAAACTAAAAGTGGTTTTTAAATGTCCATGCCGTAATATTACGGTTTTGTGAATCTCTTTATATTTCCTTCTTGTTCATCAGTAATTATACGTCTACTTGTCACAAAAGTTATTACTAGATAATTACAGAGCTTTTGTTTCAATAATTGTCTTTTAAAAGTGTTCAATTTAATTTTAAATATGACAAATAAGGAAGTTCTTTCAGTGCAAAAATAATTATCAAAAAGTAAACATTTACTCACTAAAAGATAGAAAATTATACATTTGATGAATCAATCATGAAAAGATATATTTGATGGATAACGATTATTGAAAATGATAATAAAAGATTAATGCTCAAAGAAGGTGTGCGGTATGTTACAAACACAATATCCGAAAAGGTTCAGAATATGAATATGTAGAATGTGATGTAGGACTTTTTGCAGCTCCTTGTTTTTTACAATTATCATACAAAAAGTGAATATTAGTGAATGAATTTTTAAATTTTTATGTTTATGTAGTTTGATTTATATATTCTTATACTTGAATAATAACATTTTGTAGTGTTTATTAATGTTAAAAATAGTAAAAAACATTTTTTATTCTATTAGTTAAAAAAACATGATGAATTAAAAAAAAAGCTGGACTAATTGCAACCGGTTTAAAAAAAACACAGGATTGTTAAAGGGTTAAAGAAAAAGTATAAAAATATATCGGGGTAAGTTTTTAAAAAATATATCAGTGTTGAATAAATTCGTAAATGTAGTATAATACTATATATTTACTTCCTGATGATTCATGTCAGGATATGAATATAGTATTTACACTTTTAAGGATTCAATACTCTAGTAAGTGAAATTTCGGATGTTTTAATGCTCATTCCTAGAAACCTCTGTCCAGATATCATACTCAAAACAAGCAAGTAAAGGACACATCTACTTTTGTGTCATAGATTTCTTATGTTGCAACATTTGAGTAGTACATACTACTGCTTAGCCAAACACCCTAACTTATAATTAACTGCTTAGCCAAACACCCTAACTTATAATTAACTGCTTAGCCAAACACCCTAACTTATAATTAACTGCTTAGCCAAACACCCTAACTTGTCCCATTTATGGCGAAATACTCTGATAGACTTTTAAGAAAGTTAACAGAACATATTGCGCAAGAAGTATTAATAAGAGACACAGCTTAAGTGAATACTTTTTAGAGATATTCAATGCAACCAGTCACAAAACTTCTGAGCTCTGTTATGCATTTTTAATCTTTAGGAAAAAAAAAACTTTTTTTACTTTACACTGCCATAATGTACAAAAAGTTGGTGTTTGTTATTATTATTATTTTTAATACCATGTACATTAGTTTATATTTTAAAGAATGTTACTTAATTTGTTATACCTGAGACGATATTATTTCCTTTATTTAAACTCAATTATTTCATTTTTTTTTATCCATACATGTTTTTCAACTCAATTATTTGTCTTTTTTTCAAGAGGTTCAAATTGGTATGGAGTTATTGACATTTTAACCCTTTAGTTATCAAAATTTAAATGCAAAATTACCTTTATATCTATTTGCAAATCATCAAAATATATCAATTTGCACCAAATTGACATAATTATTATTATTTTTTAACTAAAAATTAGAGAATTTGGAAAATATCTCTAATAAATGATGTCGTTTATCAAAATTAACTTTTAAATAAAAAATTTAAGAACTCATTCTTTAAGATCCCTTTAACTATCTAAGTAAAAGATTTTTAACTATCTGAATAATATTGAGAGATTGAGAAATGTAAAACTGTTAATAATTAGGAAAAGCAGAAGTGTTAATACTCTAATATTTTACAGCTATTGATGGAATCAGCCTCTTTGGGAGTAACCATAAAATTTAAAAAACCTTACTACCAGCTGGCCTCAGAACCATTAAACTGAGTTTTAGAGCTGTACCCTTATAAACAGATAACAGAAACAGAAGCCCATGAGTAGAGTCAATAAAACCCAGTGTTTATCAAAAGTTTTTTCACCAAATATTATAGTCTAGGAGTAGTAGTAGTAGTAGTAGTAGTAGTAGTAGTAGTAGTAGTAGTAGTTGTAGTAGTTGTAGTAGTAGTAAACCACCAAGTGGGATTAAACCCACTGAGATATCATTGTTAACTTAAGTCAAGCTCTGACAAACCATACATCAAGCAGGGGCTTTTCTAGACCATTTTTGATAGCGTCAACTGTATTTAGGTGCCGCCTAAATAAAATTTGAGGACCTTTTTTTTTCTTTGTTTTTTTTTACGTTTTTATAGCAAATATTGTTTTTTTTTGCGAAAAAAAATTTTCTGCTAAAGTCTGCCAAAACGAGCGGGTACCGCCGCCCAAATATTTTTCCTAGAATGGGCCCTGTCAAGTTAATCTTTGAAAATATCTAATGTTTCTGCTGTCTATAATATAAATTACTGTTAGCTAATATAAATTACTATTACTTTATTTTTTACTTTAAAGTTAAAAAAGTATTTATTATTAAGAAAGAACAGGCATAAGCAAAAAAATTTTTTTACTTAAATTACTAATAAAAATTAACTGTACCTAAAATAGTACCTTTAAAGTTAAAAAAGTATTTATTATTAAGGTTTTTATTTTATAAATAATTATACTTCAGTCACAAAAAAAAAATAAAAAAATAAAAAACAGTTCAAGAAAAAACATCAACCAGGTATAAAAAACAAAACAAGAAAGAACATAAGCAAAAAAATATTTTTACTTAAACTACTAATAAAAATTAACTGTACCTAAAATATCACCTTCACAAATCTGCCTCAGTGCAAAACCAGATAAATCTTCTGTTAAAAATCTGACTTTGATAAGATTTATTAAAGATGCAGAAAGAAACATAGGACAACACCTACATAAACAAACAAATAAAAAAAGTAAAGCTTTTTAATCAATTTTATTATTTAGAGAGTTGACAAAGGTGAAAATAAAATTATTTTATTGTGCTAACCCTAGGGTTAACGCAATAAAAAAAAAGTATTAAACATAGATTATCCTAGTCATATTATAAAAATCCGGAAAATTGTTTGAACAAAATATCGGGAAAAAATCCGGAATTTGTTTTCCCTTATTTTCTTTTTAATTTCGGTTTTAGCTAAGTTGTTGTTTACTTTTTTTGACACTTTTCATAATTTTTCTATAAGTGATGAGTAAAAAAGCTTAAAAAGTAAATATATTACAAAAATATATACCTCAACTTGCATGTATTGAAAATATTTTGAATATTCGGAAAAACTAATAGTTGAAAAAAATATCCGGAATTCCGGATAAAGATAACTGATTAAACCTTTACAGAGCTTGTTGACACTCTTAAGCCACAGCAACAACTTCTATTGATATTCAAAATAAAGATTTCTTTATAGAAATAATTATATAAATAAATGAATTTTGCAATTTCTTTGCGGGAATAAAATTGATAAAAAACAAAAAAAATATTTGCTAATGTTGTTAATTCTACTAATCAATTTTTAATTTTACAAATCAATTTAAAAATTAAATTTAATTGTATTTGGTAAATAAAAACAGTATAAATCGAATAAATCAAATTTATATTAACTTTGGTGTGTTATTATATACTAATGTTATTATATTATTAATTTTATTTTATTGTACAAATGTAAAACTTCAGTTGTTTCTTGAGCTCATAGTATCTATTTGTTGCTGATTGAACTTTTAAAGATAAAATTATTCATAAAACATGCGTTATTAAAATCCAGCAATTATATTAATTAAATAGTGTGGCCAAGTAAAAGTGTTTGAAGAAATAGACTAATTTATAAACTTTATAAGGACACAGAGATATTTTCAACATGCTGTTCAAAAATTATTTTGCATCTTAAACACATTGTATGGGTCTGCTGCATTGTTGAAACATTTACATTAGTATAAACATTATTAAGTTACACTTTTATCATCTGTAAAATAAAGGCTAGGAGAAGCCAACTCCGACTTAAAACACCCCTGCTTTAGGGCTCTTGGTTAGGTAAAGGCTAGAGATGGTGTCTCAATAAAAATACCCATTTCGGGTAGATGTTAAATGCATCTGGCTACTGTCTTATAGAAAGCCTCCTAGGCAAAGACTTAAGGGGTAAACAGATTCTATCTGTTGACCAGCCTCACAGCCCTTCTTCATCTTTTAGGCTGGTGCAGATGTATTTATAATACATTGTTTCTAGTTTAGGATGTTGAATGCTGGATCTTCTTAACTTGATGCATGGGTTTTGCTTGTGTCTCTGTTTTAATGATTAGGCAGCTCATTGATCAATTTAAAAATATGACAAAGAACCAAAAACTATAAAACACAAAAAACCATCGTCATCACCAAGTTCTCTAAATCATTCACTAATATTCGTGGTCTTTGAAGTAATTTTTTTTTTCTTGAGTCTTATCTCTTGCAAAGTTCACCAGACCTACTTTCTCTTTGTTAGGCTAATTTGAGTTTGACTCATCTTGTGATCTTACCCAATTGTCGGGAAACTAGGTTTGAATCCACTGTCTATTCTTTTTATGTGCTTTCGTTTAGCACAACTTCACTTTATCGCCTTTCTCTTTGTTCTATATCGCTCTCCTTTATCTCAAGACTGCACTTTTTCCAATTTTATTTATGATCAAATTGACCAAGCCCTCTCTCTTTATCCATCAGCCAATATCATTGTTATTGGTGACTTTAATGCTCATCACACAGAATGGCTTGGCTCTAGCAGTGAAGAACCCAGACGTGTTTTAGTACCATTTTACCGGTTGGGCACCCAAAAAAAAAGCACCCAAAAATTGTTTGTATTTTTAATTTTTCTTTTGATTTTTTATGAATATTGAAAAAAAAATTTAGTTTTAAATGCAGTAGTATATAAATAATTCTCAGTTTAATTTAGCTAACTCATTTTTTCTTCAGGAAAATAAAAAGAATTAAAAACAATTGCTTTTTTACATAACTACGTAATGCAATTTGCCTTTGGTTATTAACTCAACGTAACTTTTAAAAAAATGAAAGTTGTTACGAAACTTAATTTTAAAACCAAGCTGCAAAATTTTATAACAATAGAATGCACAAAAGATTTGCTTTTTTGAAAGTTGGGGCGTTTTTAAATATCCATTCAGCGTAAGGTTGATTTTTGCTTTTGGCAATTAAGAGTAAACTGCTTTTGATAATAAATGAACAAAAGTAAAAAATATCAGTCATCGTAACTATCGCGCAAGTTTAATTTTTAAATGAATGAACTTTTGGACTTTAGCTTGCTAGTTAACGTGAGGAAAATAAAAAAACGCATTATAAATTTTTTCAGACATTTTTTTTTCCTTTCAATAGTCTTTTTAAAATAATAAAAAAAAGGTTTCAATTACTTAATAAAAGTTTTATATAGATCTGTTTAAAATAACCCATAGTAAATGTAATTTATTTATTCAAATGTAATTTTTTAAATTATTCCTAATAATTAAAAAAAAATATTTTTAAAATATATGTTTTTAAAAATATAATATAGTTTTTATCAAAATAATAGAATATTTTTAAAATTATGTTTACCGTAATTATCTTTTTAATTATCTTACTTTAAAATGCGCCTTAAAACCACTTTAAAAATTATAATCTTTAGTAAAAGTTAAATGAACAGATTTACTAATATTTAAATAAAAATTTAAAACTTAAAATAATAGAAAATAAGTTTATTAAATGTTTTTACTTGAATAGTTTATTAAAAACGTTTATTAAATGCTTATTGAATTTGTTTAATAAACACTTAAATTTGAATTGAAATACAAGACGTAAAACTATTTTGTTAATTTTACAAATATTACGCGATATAGTATATGTAAATATATTATGTAATGTAAATATTGAATAAAAATTGTTTAAAATATATTTAATTAAATTTACTAAAATATAGTTAATAACTTTTTAAAATACTTTAAACAATTTTCAATAATTATTTACTGATAGCGTGGTACATGCAACAAAAGCGTTTATTAAAATCTTAAGTAAAATAGTTTTCTTTTAGCTCAAGTAACATTGTCCGCCAGTAAATTCATGTATTCAAAATATGCCTTTAAATCAACTCCTTATTATAGGATAAAACTGAACAAGATAAACATAAATGATTATTAAGAAAATGATTATTAAAAATTGTTGTGGCACCCGTTTAACTAGGGGAGAATGAGGGGAGGGGGAAATCAAAAACATAATCCCCCCTGCCCTCAACATTGCTGAAAGAAAAAAAAGGTATCCCCAAATAAACTCTGGGTTCTTCACTGTCTAGTGTCAGCAACTCTGCTGGCATTAAGGCCTTCAACTTTTGCCTTTCTCAATTTCTAACTCAAATAGTCAACTTTCCAACTCGCTTTACCTTCTCTACTCAATTTACTTATTTACCTTCTCTACTCAATTTATGTCTTGATTCTGATCCTAGTCAGTGTTCAGTTTCTCCACATCCACTCTTAGGTGCATCTGATCACTGTTTGATTTCTCTAAAACTATTATCTCATTCTTCTTCATCATCAGAATCCCTCTATCATCATACCTCTTACAACTACCTTAAAGCTGACTGGGACTCTTTCCGTGATTTTCTTTTTGATGACCCTTAGGTAGAAATCTTTTGTCTTCCTGCTGACAAATCTGCTACTTACATCACTTCTTGGATTCAGGCTGGCATGAAAATTTTTATTCCCTCTTGACAATTCAAAATCAAGCCTCATTCTTCTCCATAGTTTTCCTCACATTTTACTACTGCAATTTTGTGCGACATCTGTTATCCCTACTTTCAAAAATTCTGGAGAGCAATCTGATTCATCTAACTACCCTCCAAATAGTCTTCTTCCAATCATAAGCAAAGGCTTTTGAATCTTTAATTAAGATTCCAAAGCCTTGCTTATGATAGGAAGAATTGCTTTCTTCTTATGGTGCATCAGGTAGCATCTTTAAGATTATTGAATCCTTTCTTTCCAATCATAGTATAAAAGTTGTTTTTGATGGACAGCACTCTTCTTTATATCCTGTTACTTCAGGGGTTTCTTAAGGTTCTATACTTGGCTCTATACTCTTTCTAATTTACATTAATAATCTTCCAGATCTTTACCATCATTTTCATTTCAAAATTACCATCATTTTCATGAATAAAAACATTTATATACTAGAGGTTTTACTGGACATTCATTCATCTGTGTTGAGGCGAAACAGTTTTTTATTTAGCTTATTTCGTTAAATTTCATTTACAACTTCTTTCCTTATTTTATCAGCATAATCCATTACCTTTTTAAAATGGTTTTGTGTGATTTTGGTATCTATATGTACACTTTTGGATTCAATAGAATTTTTAAATCTTTAGATGCACAAATTTATTGAAAGGAAAGCCATCTTTTGCAATCATTCTTGAAAATACAGCTTCAAGGGATTCAACTTTTTTTTTTGAAGTATTCATTTTGAGTGTTCTTCTATATTTCTTTTTAATACATTAACTTCACGATGACTCTTTTGATGGTCATGTAAACCACTATTACTTCTACCTGCTGTTTTAATTTACATAAGGCTATATCTCTCAATTCTGTACGATTATACTAATTTTAAATTGAACTTTTATCCATTAAGATACCATATAGTATCATAGTATCATAGAGCTTTAAATAAAATTAAAAAAAAAATTTCCATCAACTATAAAAGATGTCAGCAATTAAGTATGTTTTATTAATTGATTTTGCAAAACAAGCCATATCATATCATATCATATCAGTTCATATCATAACATATCAGTTCAAATGTTTTTAATTGCAGTCATTAAGTTCATTCACACGTTAAGTTCAAACAAAAGAAAGCTTTACACTCTCAAGCTTTATAATGTTATAGACAAGAAAATGTATATAAATAATCTATTTAACTTTAAAAGCACATTCTTTATTATGTAAAAATAACCAGCATTTACAAATTCAAGTAATCTTTACATATCAAAAAACCTGAATTAATAGTATTATGTACAAAATGTTGCAGAGATTTTACAAACTTTCTTTGTTTCATCAAACCAATTGAATTGGCATCTCCTGTGCTTCCTGTTGGCCCAACAAATAGAAAAGCATCTCTAAAACTTTTATGAAAATTGAAAAAAGACTATTTTCACTATTGATAAAAAAAACTTGCCGTGAGACACTTTTTTTCAAAAGGAGTTTTTGAAGTTATAAAATATCAAAAACAGCATTGTACTAATTTTTCTTTTTTGTGATATTTCGGTCTAATTTGTATAGACCATCATCAGACATAAAATACGAATTTAAAAACCGTTACAAAATAAAAATCATAAAGAAGTCATTACAAAGATGACGTCAATAAAAATTGTTTTGTTTTTTTATGCATCTGAAACAACAACCATCAGTGATATATATATATATATATATATATATATATATATATATATATATATATATATATATATATATATATATATATATATATATATATATATATAAATATATATATATATATATATATATATATATATATATAAATATATATATATATATATATATATATACATATATTTAAACATTTTCGCTTCCAACAAGGCTGCAAGCAACCACTAATTAGAGTTGGAAGTTACTGGAAGAGAAAAGATGAAGATTGTAGAGCAAGATAACGATTGACAGACAACTTAAAAGATTGCAAATTAAATGAATCAGGAAAGTAAGATGAAGGAAGCAAATTCTAAAGAACTGATGTTCGTTGAAAAAAACTAGAGGTATAAGAATTTCTGGAGCCCTTAGGAACAGTCACAGAAAAAAAGATGAGACTTAATTGAATGACGAGTAACACAAGAATGAATTTTAGTATGTGGCACAAGAGATACTAGCTTTTTAGAGCAATGCCATTTATAGTATTTGTAGAAAAGAGAAAGAGAAGCAACATTACGACAATGTGATAATGGTTGAAGATTGGCTGCAAGAGCAGGTCCAACTACAATTTTTTTTAACTACAAGTTTACAATGCGTTTTTGCACCTTGTCTAAAAGAGAAAGGGTATCATTAGATCTGCCCCAGATATGGCAACAGTATTCCATACAAAGCCAGATTTGAGATTTATAGAGATAGAGAATAGAATCAGGAGTAAGAAAGTGTCCAGCTCAATAAAAAGATGCAACTTTAGCAGATGCTAATTTTGTAACGGATTTGATATATGGTTTCCAAGAAAGATCGGAAGTAAAAGTTAATCAGCATAAGGTAGTGGTGTAGCGGTAAAGCACTCGCTTCATAGACAAGAGGTTCCGAGTTCGATTCCCACTACGCCCTGGTAGTACCGCTTTTAACTTGTTTCTCCATGCAGTGGCCTTGGTTCGTGTTTTGAAATTATAGAGTTGAGAGAGGGTTATAACTACAATTAAGTAGCCTCCTTGTCTATAGTGACCTTCTCGGCCTTGGGGAGGCAAATCAAAAAAAAAAAAAAATCCTAGAAGATGAAGGATAGATGACTCATCAAGTACATTACCCTTTATAAATATAGAAGGTCTCAATTATTGTGATAATGACTGGTTGAAAAAAATTGATTTTTATCTGAATTATAGCTCACCAGCCATTCTGAGCCCCATACTGTAGCAGAAGTGAGATCCTTTTCAAGCTCAAATGCCCCCTCCAAGCAATCAGAGAGTGTTGGCTTCTAACAATGACAAGAATAAATGGTAGTATCATCAGCGAACAATGCCACCTTAGATGTGAGAATATCTGGAAGATCCTTAATGTAAATTAAAAAGAGTATAGGGCCAAGGATTGAACCTTGAGGAACCCCTTAGGTTACATAATAAGAAGAAGAGTGCTATCTATTAAGGAAAACTTCCATACTATGATTAGAAAGGAAGGATTCAATAATCTTAAAGATATTTTCAGATACAACAAAAGAAAAAAGCTTATGGAGAAGATCTAATGCACAATACTATATATTCTAATGGAATCTAATGGAATGTGGACTCTTTTTAACATTCATACATAAATTTTTAGTTCTCAGCATTTAAAAACTTCAAGGTTAATTTATATAGAAAAAACAGTGTTTTTTGAAAGAGTCCTTGTGGAAATGGCAAATATAACCTTTCCTCAATTTAAAACAAATATTTACGTTTTCTTGAAGAAATGGTACTTAAAAATTTTGTTAAGAAATTATGTATATATATTGTTTTTATTCCTTTGTTTATTGTTTGTTTTGATTTTTGCGCTTGATTTTTGATGTTTTTTTATTTTATTTTGGTGCAATTTTACACCAAATTTTCCCTACTTAGGGACAAGGCATTTTGTCAAAAAATCATCAGTTTTTCCAGCACAAAAAATAAAATAACTTTGGATCCAAAAAACTTCTAAAGTTGAAAGACCCCTCATTTTTTAAGTCTTTTAAAGCTTGACACTACTTTCTCTATAATATAACTTAATAATATATTCAATAACTTTCTCCCCCCCTTCCCTGTTTTTATGATTGAAATGAATGTATTCTTACATTATTCTGATTCAGAATCATATAAAAACTTGGGTCTGAAAACTTGAGGAAAGTACTCTAATTTGATATTAAAGTATAAAAAACCACATTAAAATGCTAATATCTTTTTTAAAAACATTTTAACACTTTTTTCAAAAAGTAAGAAGCTATTTTTTTTTAACTACACAACCCGGTTTTTATTGTCGACAAAATTTAAACATATTTGAACCTAACTCAAATTTTAAGATGTCCGTACATCAACTGATAATTAGGGATTGGTACAAATAAATGTACATACATCGACTGACAAATAGGGATTAGCAAAATTAAATGGACATGGTTTGGGTCAGGGTTAGGGTAGGGTCAGAGATCAATCAGAAATGCAATTTGCATAAGCGTCGATAGAAACCAGGTTTTTTAAAGTTGTTATTGAAAAGGATTTTAATTGTAATGAGTATAAAAAAGATGGTGGAATATTAGCATTTTTAATGTGGTTTTTTATTCTTGAACACCAAACTAGAGTACTTTCCTTAAGTTTTCAGACCCATGTTTTTATATGATATTAAATCAGAATAATGTATTATATCATAAAAAACAGGGGGGGGGGGGGGAGGAGAGGAGAAAGCCGAGTAGCGCCTTAAAGCTCTATACAGCTATGCTAATCATATATAAATGTATTGACAAAAAAAATCCTTTGCAATGGCTAGCATAGAATTATTCACTAAGATACAAGCTATCAACAGATTAAAAAAGCATGTCTGCAGTTAATAAAAACTTTTAGTGTAATCAGGCTTTGAAAATTGTAAACTTTTGAAAAAACTTGTAAGCCCACGAAAGCAATTTATGTGATTGGTTTACTTATGCAAAACCACTCTTAAAAATGTATTAAATGTATAACTTAATGTTACTAACATTCTTTGTTATTTGTACAAATGCAAAATAAAATAACTTTTTTTTTTTCATAATCTAAATGTAACAAAACAAAAAAGAAAATATGATTTACAAAATGATGATTTTTTAATGTTACTATTTTTAAAACATTAAACAACAATAAAATATTCTTGTATAGAACATCATAGGTAATTAAATTGATTTAAAATTTAATTAAATCAACTAAATTTTAAATGCTAAATGTAAAATCAACTAAATTTTAAATGCTAAATTTAAAATCAACTAAACTTTAAATGCTAAATTTTAACTTACTTTTCGTCTAAAAATCTCTTAAGCATATCTATTATTTCTCCCTCGAGTTCTTCTTTTGTCAAAGAAAAGCAAAACGATTTTAAACGAATTTCTTCTTCATGACTGAGAAGAGACTCAATAAACTTTATAGATTGGTTATGCTCATTATCAATTAATTTTACAAATGACATCTTATATAGTGGGAATGAATTAATTTTTTTTATTATATATATTAACTGTAAAACATTTTTTTTTAACTTTTTATTTGTTTTTGAAGATGATCTGTTGCGGCGGTAATTATTGAGTTTGTTATTAGAGGTGTATGGTGAAATCCATAATTGCGGATAAAAATAGTAAACAAATCGTAAAATTTTGCTTATCTGTTATATATCTAGTATTACTTTAGTGTGTATGCAAGTGGTGTTTAACTGTTTATAGCTTCGTTTTAATAAAATGAAGTTTTTAAATTTTATTTATAACATTTAAAAAGTATAATAAATTTATTTTGTGTTATTGTTAATTTTTGTATTCTTTTTATTTAGTGGAGTCTTTCTTTTATTTCGTGGAATGCAAAAATTCCTTTTATTTAGCGGAATGCAAAAAAGTATTTTTATTTAGTGGAATGCAAAAAACTCCTTTTATTTAGTGGAATGTAAAAATTCGTCACTAATTATTTTTTTGAATATATAAAATTTACATACAATAAGGAAAAAAATCATTCAAAAAAAAGAATATTCTCATTTTTTTTCTTTTTTTAGTTATAATTAAGATTTTTAATTGTATTAGTATTATAAACATATTATATGATGTAGTATAATGTTATATATGCCAATCTAAAAAAGTCTTTGTACATATATTTACATCTTTTTCAATGATGTTATTAACATATATGTAGGGGGTGGGATTTGGAGTCATTTTTTCTGAAATTTATGATTTACTTTACTAAAATTATTGTTAAATAAGCATATTCAATTTAGTTACTGCTAAATACAATTTTAAGGTCTCTTTGAGAGTATGGACAGTTTAATAAATTTTATCCTGAAAGTTTAATGATAATTGGTTTATTTAGAGATTTCTAAAAACTGAATTATTATTTTTGTTTTATCTATCATTAAGAAGATATAGTAGAACATGAAATTTCTATTTCCTAATAAGATAAGAATAAGTATATTCCAAGTTTAAGCTAGGTTGTCCTTTTAAAAAAAGTATCCATGGCAACCATATAGGTATCAACAAAAATTGTTTGAAAATAATTTTGAATGTTTTTACTTCATAAGTTACTTTATAAAAATGTCTCATATCTAAAATACTACATAATAATAATAATAAAGAGTCAGCATCAGACTTTTTTGCATTTAGTTAAAGTAATTTAAATGTTTAAGCAATGAAAGAAAATACGATTACTATATATATATAGATATAAATACTATATTCTGTTAAATTCATAATTTTTAGTAACATTTTTTTTTGCATACTAAAAATGAATACTGAAAAGTTGCATTATGTTTTCAAATTCCCACGAACTAGACATTTATTTGATGCTGGTGGTAACAGTGTATCAAGAGATGATCTTGTACTTTCAAAAAAAGAATGTGAGGCTTTTCTAAAAAATCAAAAACTTATAATTGAAGAGAAAGTAGACGGTGCTAATATCGGAATAAGCATTAGGAAAGATTTATCTATTGCTATACAAAACAGATCTCACTATGTGTTTAGTAACACACATAAGCAGTTTAATGTTATTGATAGTTGGATTGATAAACATAGTAAAACATTGCATTCAATACTTGAACCTGAGCGTCATATACTGTTTGGCGAATGGTTGTATGCTAAGCATTCCATTCATTACAAATATTTAAGTGATTACTTTATGGCCTTTGATATATATGACCAAATAAATAAAGTTTTTCTTTCAGTTGAAGAAAGAAATAATTTGCTAGAAAACACAGAAATACCTCATGTTCGGAAACTAGCAGAGGGCATTAACTTCGATACTGTAAAGGTAAGTCTCTATCAGTTACTTTAAATATTATATATATACACATAAGCATATATACACATACAACAGTTATTCAACAAAATAGAGTGTATATATATATTGACTTCACAGAGGGTGAATAAAAAAAAACATTTCATCAGTCATAATGAATTATTTAAAAAACACTATGCTGTCAAAGTACTTATAGGAATTCAAAGAAAAAGTTTGATGATTTTATATTGAATTGGTCTATCTAACATTTAATTTTCATCTTGTAATTTAATTTTTGGCATAAATTAAATTTTAGAATTTTTTTTTAAAGAGACTTCATTGATGAAATGCTGTATAAAATCAAAAAGTTGATAATTGATTGCTAATTAATTTAATTAATTTTTGCTAGAGAAGATGTTTTTTCTTTATTTCATTTCTTTTTTAAAATAATTTTTTTTTAAATGTTCAATAACTTTTTACTTAGATAATGGATATGCTAGATAGCAAATCTTCTTATTATGATGGCTATGTAGAAGGTTTAGTTATTCGAAAACCAATTGAAGAAAGAATGGTAGAGAGAGATTATTTTACTAATCGAGTAAAAATTGTACGACCAGACTTCATGCAAGCTATTGAGGAACAATGGACTAAACAAAAGTTTACAAAAAATCAACTTTCTTATTACTAAGTAGCTAATGGATTGGAAATGTGGTTATTTGCAATTAAGTAAAATTGATGCCTATAGAGGCACATGGTAGTGCATCTTGAGGTGTACAGTATGCTAAAAAAGGAATTATTTGAAAAATGCACTGCACCTTTCAAGATTTTTTAAAATCCCCCACTATTTGTTTATGACATGTGCTTCTCCTCCCTTTTGTATTATAAACAAGGCATAAACAAAGTTGGTAATTTTCAAAAAATATGTGTATTTTAAATATGTTGATGATATTTTAAAATATATGTTTATTTGAAATATGTTGATGATATTTTAAAACATATGTGTATTTTAAATATGTTGATGATATTTTAAAACATATGTGTATTTTAAAAATGTTGATGATATTTTAAAATATATCTGTATGTTGATGATATTTTAAAATACATGTGTATTTTAAATATGTTGATGATATTTTTAAATATATGTGTGTTTTAAATATGTTGATGATATTTTTATATAGATATATAATTAAATGTCAAAGTGTGAGAGCGTTTTTTTTTTAGTTTCCAATTCTTTGTATATATTTTACTTGTTTTCACAACTTTTTACTAATTGTTTTAAGATTAGAATATTTTTTGTTGTTATTATAACATTTTTGTTGGGTAATAGAGCAACACTATTCATTTTTTGAATATCTTTTATTTCATTATTTTATTGCGTAAATTGTGAGAATTCAGACTTATTGTATATAAATAATTTCGTTTTTGTGAAGTTTTATTATGTTATTTATAATGTATATATTTTATATGAGTTAAGTTATTTTATATTAAAATTTCTATTAGGTATAGCAGAAATATCTAATTTTTATAGATTTATTGCCATTTTTAGCAGTACCTTCACATAAAAAAAATCTCCCTATAAAAAATAGAAACAATAATTTATAATATCAAATCAGTGTCACTGTAAAGAATGATCCTCGTCCCCTTCCCCTGTGACCGTTACCCCATTCCCTAGATCAGAGTGCATAATTTTAAAATTTGACCTTAGAATCAAGTTCTTTGTGACAAAATAATATTAAAATCAAATTTTCACGAGAAACAATTAACGTAGTTGAGAACATAAGTATAATTTTTGATTTTATAACAACGTAGCTAAGAACATAAGTATAATTTTTTAGTTTTGAATTCATAAAAAAATTTATATTGTCTTCTTAAAAAAGCATTTATATTTTATATTATTTCAATAAAATATTACTATTTCAATCATTTCTGATCTAGTGTAAAATAATTTCCTTTCACGTTTTTTTTTCCCGATTTTCATCATTTCTGAAATTTTCTATCAAATGCAGCTCTAAAGTATTTTTTATGGCAATAGCAAAATTCACGTTTTTCATCACTTGAAAGTGATACAAAATTAGCTTAAATATATAAATTTACTATTTCTAGTTTTCGCTCATGAGGCCTCCAAAAATCATCATAGTACAAATTGTAATATTTTTTAATAAATGAAAGTTACTTTTACTGGCATAGCAAGTAAAATTTAATATACTTTTAATAAAACTTTTCCTCATTAATCACACTTTCCCTACTATTCACCCCCCCCCCCCATCTTTTTCCTTCTACCCTAGTCTCAAAAAAAAAACTCTCCTGGCCATTTGTCTTTATGAGTTAAAAATTACAATTTTTTTGATTGACCTCATAAAGAATATAAAAATAACTTTTTATTACTTAAAATCAAGCTAATTTTGTCATAAATAAGTCAGCAAAACATTTTATGCCAACTTTGGTTAGTTAAATATCATATGCCGACAAACAAAAATTTTTGTTTGATATTCGTCATTTGAAACATTGTCTACGTACCAAATTTCAGTTCGAATTATGTTCGTTAAGAATTGCAATTTGATAAAATGTTGCAAAAAATACAGTCAACATAAATATAAAAATCAAATCTTGAATATTTGACTTGAATATAAAAATTGAAAACTTTTAGATAATCTTAACATATAAAAAATGAACACAATCCAAAAATATGGAGTGACTTTTTTGGTTTTTCTTCTGATTTGTCAAGGAATGACCTTAATGAAACAAGCAACTGCCTCAGGCCCTTAACTTTCAAGGGCCCGGCGAATCGCTTATTAGAAATCTCTAAAACTCCGATTTTTTCAAAATTGTCGAAAATTTTTCACTATTTCCGGTTGAAATCTGAAACAGGTGATGCAAAAAGCAAATGTTAAAAGATCTTACGTTACGATTGACACCTTCAGCTTAGGACTAAACAGGGTACTAACTTATACTTATTATATTACCCGTAAAATTTTCTTAAAACCACTTTCTTTTTTATGTTAAGACAATAGCGTGTCGCTTTGATGACGTCGCAAGTCGCAAAAAATTGAGTTGATAAAAAAATTGCCAAATTTGGCAATTTTTTTATCAACTCGACCATTTTAAACTTTCAATAAAAGGAAACTCTTAACCCTTTCACTACTAAAAAAATGATTGCACGTGAATATAAAATTATATATAATAACTTAATAATGAAAGTCATGTACAATAGTTTCACGCCATCCTTCCTAACAAATGTAAGGAATATGGACGAATAAGGAATATTTAAAATTAATAATATCATTTCACACCTCCTAAGTGAAAGAATCCATTTCATAAAGAATAATGTCATTTCACGCCACCTAAGTGGAGGCGTGAAATGATTGCATGGGACACTCATTCCGGTTACTTTCCCAAGACAAAAAGTCCTATAGGACCTATAGGATTTTGGAACAAAAAAAAAGACATAACTTTGATATCAAAGTTTTGTCTTTTTATAGTTACTGTGATAACTATAAACACTTTTTAACTGATGCGTTTTAATTCAATGGAGTTCAAATCTGAAATTTTTTTTGTTCCCAATTCTTCAGGATCCTATAGGACTTTTTGACTAGGGTCCTTACGAATTATGCTTTTTTGGGCTTGAGCTGGCATCAATGTGTTTTAGACGTCTAAAATACATCTTGTGTTCTCTTGGTTGGTTTTGAGCTAGAACTTTTAAGGATCGTCCGTAAAGTAAGTATGCTCTGATGATGGAGAGGGTGTCAGAAAATGGCGTTAAAATTGGAGGGCAAGGGGTCAACTATAAAAGTAAGGAGACACTAAATTAAAAAAAATATCATAAAATGTTAGGTGGGTAGTTTAAAAGCGTAGGTACCTTTAGGTAGGTTGAGGGTACTCCAAAAAGCGTATAGAAAAATGTGGGGTGGGAGGATCAAAATAAAAACATACTTTATGGACAATCCATAAAGTACGTTTTGAGCGGAGTCAATCAAGGCGTTGGCCTTGATTGAATCCGCTCAAAGAACCAGCGAATTGCCAGTTAAAATTATTACTTCAATTTTTATTAAAAAAATAGTTGCTAAGCGCTTAAATATAATGCACGCTAAAACCAAAAATATTCATGGAGATCTTTAAAATATTTAAGCTTGTTAGTATTTACATTTCTATTTTTGTATGAGCGAGGAATACAACCCTCGCTTAAACAAAACCCTCAGTTTTGCAAAGTTCTCTCAGTCGGATAAAACAGAAAGAAAAAAAAAAACTCAATTAGGCGTTGGTTTTTTTAATTTTAGAACAACAGCGATTTTAACTTTAATTAATTTTTACTACTTTATTCAATTCGATATAAAATAACAAGGTTATCAAAATAATTAATTCACTATTTCATATTTATTTTGAGTTACTTCACTTTCAATCTTGGTAAACTGTTTCTGTATATGTTCTGGAATTTCAAGCGTTCTTAAGTTATCCATTCCTGGTTCAGGTTCATCACCGATCAAAACTTGGATGAGATTCACTAAAGGTTCTTCAATTACATCGTCATTGTCTAAAGATCTATGGAACTCCCGAAGAACATAATATGTTCCATTGTTTTTTAACTGCAATCGACAAGATTTTGTAGCGCATAACTAAAATTAAAAAATTAATTTAAAAACAAATTAATAAATCTAAAAAATATGTAAATGTAAATAAGAGTGTTGTGAATTTGCATGGCATACATACATACATACAATACATACATACATACATACATACATACATACATACATACATACATACATACATACATTGTATGTATGCAAATAATTGTAAATAATTAAAAATATTGTAGTATTAATATTGAGGTTTTTCCAAGTATATCTTATAACATCATAAAAGTCATCAAAAGGCTTGTTTGCATAAGTTTTAGTGAGCTTGGAAATGAAGAAAAATCAACAATGGCTTCTTAATCTTCTGTTTGGATTGAAACCAATTTTTTTAAGCTCTCGATTAACTGTCCGAACTGAAGAATGAGTCCCATAGCTCTGCGTTCATAATGATTTTTTGTATTATAGGCTGTTCAGAAAAACAGACAACAAATATCCAAGAAAATCACAAAATTGTCTGCAGAGCTTATAAAAATTATACTAAATCTAAACACTTGCTTGTTGCTTTCTAGTCAAAATAGAGCATAAATGTCAATTTTAAAAATAAAATTGCAACTTAAAATATGTTTTCTTATTCAATAGAATATGATTCGAGTAATTTAAATTAATTTTTTGTATTTTTTTAAATTCCTATTTATCTGTATACAAAAATTAGGAATAAAAAAAAATTATATTATATACAGATTGTCTAAAAACACCTTTTTTTACCTTAAAGAGATCAGAAATCGATGTTTAATATTGTTTATAATAAGTCATTAATTTGATTATGAGTTCATAATTCATGTGATATGTTCAAAATTTATGTGATAATGAATTCTTAAACTGTAACACATTTGTATTGGTCAATGGATAATACTTTTTAAACATTAGTGTTTAATACAGCTATGTCTTGTAACCATTTTTCATATAAATGATATACAAATTTACCAAACCCTATCAATCTGAATCTAGATTATACATGTTATAATCAGTGATATAAATTTTTTTTTTTTAATTTGTGAGAAAAAAGTGTTTATACCCCAAATTAATGCATTGCAGTAGAAAAGTCATTGTTACTATGGAATATCTTTCCACTCATCTTAAAAAAGATCTTATACAAATAAAACTATTCAAACACTTAACTTTTGAATTTTCAATGCGATGTTACTTCATTTGGTACTTGATGGTAATGATTCGGCTGCATTTCTTAAAGAATGAGAAAAATGTGATGCCTGATTAAGATTTACAAATGGATATTTTCCTGAAACATTAGTCCCCACTGTAACCTGAAAAAACGCCACAAGTAAGATATCATCCATGTTCTAATAAAAATGTTAAGATGATTTGTATAGTACAAACCAGGTCTTTGTGCATTACCACACTTTAAATTATGACGTACTGAGTTATGATATGGAGAATAGCTTGTAAACAATAAAACAATAAAAACAAAAAAGAGCACACATTGTCAAAGCAAAAGTTTGTTTATATTTTGTTCTATTTTAAAACTATAGAAATTTATGGTAATAAAATAGTAATTAATATAAAACAGTAATAATAAATTTTTATGGTATTTTAAATTAGTTATTATTTAGTTTAACATTTGAACTATGTAACTTTATGATATTACTCCAATAAAAAATTCAAAATACTTTTTATTTCATTTTTATATTTGCAACTATTAATTTATGATTTTTTTTTACTAAAAATTGAAACAGCCTTGCTGTTTTAAAATTATAAAAAAAGCTTGTGATAACAAAATACACTGATGATCATTTTGATAAAAATGCATTATTTGACTTGTGCAAGTGCAGAAACAAAATAATATATAATTTTGTAATCTACATAATTTGTTACAAAAAAAAAAAAAAATCACAAAGTTAAATGTATTTTTAAAAAGGATATAAATTTTAAATTGATTCATAAGAGTTAATGCTTAAAATATGCAAATTATGTTGAGGAGTCAGTAATTAAAAATCTAATAGTTTTTAAAAATATTTCTAAAAATTAAGAATTATAAAAAAGATAAAATTTTACTTAATTTCAAATATAATAAAAATAAAATTTACTGAATCTCACCTGAAATAGTGACTCGCATAAAAGAATCTGAACATCTTTATTTTTTTCACGCTGTTTAGTATCTGGAAGATATTGTAGGTCAAGTGGAAGGCATTCATTTTCATCAGGTGTAAATTCTTCAGGACCTGCTAATGGCATAAGCAAATGAATAATAATGTCAATGTCATCAGACAGCAGCCACTCATGATAATCTAAAATATATACAATTACCACTTTTAATTTAGCAGTTTAAACTTTTTTTTTTTTAAAATTTTTTTAGATTTTACCAAAATAAAGGTTAACTAAATCATAACAAACCATAACTAGCGTTTATAATAACATTTCGTAAAACCCAGATTTCTGGGTTTTACGAAAAACGCAGTTAAAATCTAGATTTCTATAGATTCAATACTATATCCTTCTGGGTAAAAGCCGAACATCTGGTAACCCTATAATAACATTTGTATTATTACTATTAACAGGCATCGAAATTATCTACCTGTTTCAAACAAACAGTTTTTTATAATTCTTGACACAGATAGCCGCCTGGATAAAGACTTCTCATATTCAGTGAATGGCAAAAGTCTTTTTAAAAGACATTCATCTTTTTTGAGAAAAAGATGTCGAGTTTCTTTGCATAAGGTTAAATTTGCTAGAAAAGATCCTATATAATGAAGACTGCAACCTTTTTTATTGTAGTTTTCATTGCAAAAAGCATCAATAAATTTATTCAAAGAAAAGTTATCATTATTTAGGATGCAATCTAAAACTACTTCAGCGTTATTCTTTGCTTGAGTTATGTTAGTTAACAACATGGCTACCAAATCACTACATTCTGATTCAGGTTCAGTAGCAACAGTAAGCATGACTTTGATAAATAATGGTTCTAAAAATTTTCGAATTAAATCATCTTCTTTTGTCATTGAAGTTATATTGACAACAATTTTTAGGCTATTAAGGCGTGCCTTTTCATTTTCATCATACAAAATAAGCTTTTTAAGAGCTTTAATAAGTAAGTCGTTATTTAAAATTGTTTTTAAACCTTCTGCTGTACCAGTCATACCAAGTATGTATTCAAGAATGTTATTTTTATAATCGGCCGGTGATAATGTATCAATAAATTGTAAAATCTCTTTCATTGCTGTGTTTATTTCATCACTCGAAGCCATGTTATAACACCTAGCAACCACCTTCTTTTGGTGATGTAAAAATTAAGCTTCAGATCAATTCCATATATAATTATTTGTCCATTTTGTAATTATATATTGAATATTACTAATTAAATTATTAATTATTATCAATATTTAATAGCATAATACTAAAACACTGCTTTTTTAAATATAATATTTTTAAATAAAAGTTTAACAATATAATACTGTACAGTATTGCAATATTTGCAGCTGTAAATATTATTTAAAATAGTATTTACAGTATTATATTGTAAAACACATGATTATATAAATTTCAAATTTTTCAAAATGAATTTTTGAATGCAAGAACCGTGTATGCCTATTTAAGATATATAAAATTTGCTAATAGTTAATAACTAAGTGACAATAAATTTTCCTAGAAATATTAAGGTAAAACGTGGGTTCTACAAATGGCCGCTCCAGACATATATAATGCGGAACATAAAATCGCATTACTGTTACTTCCCTTCGCAGCCTGCGCTATTTCAAAATTATGAGGTCCCTAGTTTAGCTTTTAACCCTATATTGCATAGCGTTTCTTTAAATTAACATACAGTCATTCTGGGTAACTTTGAATTTGCGGGTAACATTGAACTAAACGTGTAAATGTTTTTAAATTTTTTTTTCTTTGGTATTTTCTTTGCTTGTTGCTTTAACAAAGAATAATATGATGAATTATCTTTTTTTACAAAAGTTTGACCAAAGAAAATTAAGTTTTATTTCTCAAAAATAATGTTTTCCTCCATTTCCAGTTACACAGTCGAATGTGGTGATAACATCGTGTGTTTTCAATTTAGAATATTTGGTATTACATTGTAATTATCTGAATAGATTTTTAAGTATTTTATTGAATTATTTTTCGAACTTTAATACAAACTCAAAATAATAGGATTTAACATGTTTTTTGCTACAAAAAGGATATTTATTTCCACTTAGCTAAAATATAACCAAATTCAGGGTAACTTTAGACAATCAATATTTTCCAAAAATGCTTTTTTTGCTGTCTGAGTAACATTGCAATAATACATAATAAATAATAGGCATCTTTTTATTATAGTATTTTTATTATATAATGATATATGATATTATAAATATCAAAAATTATAATATCTATTACTAACATATTAAGGTGGTATCCTGCCATTATTTTGGTGAAAAATAAAAAAAAAAATGAAAAATTTGAAAAAATGTTATTCATACAATTGAACATTGTAGAATTCAATAGAAAAAATATTTTTTCAAAAACAATGTTAGAATATCAAGAATATTCTTTTCAAACACATCAAGATATTTTTATATCACATAGCAACGACCATAGCAACCGTTTTATCCTATAAGTTAGTCTCTTAAAATTAGACATACCAAGCCTGTAACTATTCTTTTTTTAATGTTTTAAGTTTATATTGGTCTAAATGTCATAAATCTAAGTTACATTGCTATTTTTAACGGTTTAACATCGTGCTGTTGCCTTTTTGAATTCAGATGAAATAGTGCTTTACACTTTTAATTTTTATATCTTACCTATTATAGTTAAAAAGTTGTTGAAAAGTATATTATGGCCAACAAAAAAAGAATAATAAGACCAAGGAAAAGAAAGTTTAACGGCAATCAGCATAATAATTCCAATAATACCAATAAGCAATTTGATACAAACACAGAAAGTTCTACAAAAAGTAAAAAGCTAAAAAATAATCTTGAAAAAACATTATTTGATAACGACGAATTTATATTTTTTATGCATTTTAAACAAATGAAAAGTTGTTTTGAAAAGTATGCTACTTGTAATATATGTGATACAAAGCTTTCCATGTTGCATGATCATTCAAGACACTTGGGTTTTTCTATGTTTTTTCAAATTTATTGCAGTGGTTGTGCTTTTAAAGAAACATTTTTTTCTTCTCCTGTTGTCAAAAATAATAAACCTGGTATAAATACTAGTGAAATTAATGTACGCGGTGTTATGGCATTCAGGGAGATTGGCAGAGACAGAGATGCAATGTTAACTTTTATCTCCATAATGAACATGCCACCACCTTTATCAAAACCTAGTTTTGACTGTATTAATAGCAAACTTTACGATGCTTATAAATCAGTTGCTGAGCAAAGTATGAAAAATGCTGCTATGGAAGTTAGGAGAATACAGAAGCCTGACTCTAATATGAATAATGTTATTGATTGTGGTGTTTTTATTGATGGTACCTGGCAGCGAAGAGGATATTCTTCTTTAAACGGTGCTGTGGTAGCAATGTCTCACGACAACAACAAAGTATTGGATACTGTTACATTATCTAAGTTTTGTAAAGGATGTCAAATTTGGGAAGGAAAAAAAGGGACACTCAAATATGAGCAGTGGAAAGTTAATCATTCCTGCCAAGTAAACCACACTAAATCAGCTGGTGCGATGGAGTCAGCTGGTGCAACAAAAATATTTTGCTCTTCAGTAAATAAATATAACATTTGCTATTCTAAATATCTCGGAGATGGAGACACTACCTCGTTTAGCACAGTTATTGCACAAAAACCTTATGGTGATGACCTTGTTCCAATAAAACTAGAATGTATTGGGCATTACCAGAAGCATACAGGGAATCGACTGCGTCTTAAAAGAAAAGAATTACGACGGGTAAAACTATCTGACGGAAAAGGTATATCTGGTAAAGGTCGTCTCACGGATAAAGTAATTAACATCTTGCAAAATTATGTTGGAATGTCTATTCAACAAAATTCAAATAGTCTTTTGGAAATGAGGAACTCTCTAATAGCTTCACTTCATCATTGCACTAATTTTACCTCTGAAGAATATCGTCATATGTTTTGCATCAAGGGTGAAAAAAGCTGGTGTAAATGGCAGTCTGATAGAGCAACTGGTCATGTTACATACAAGAAAAAGGTGAATTTACCCGTTGCCATTATGGAAAAGATCAAGCCAGTATTTCAAGATCTAGCAAATACTGATATGCTTGCAAAATGTTTGCATGGCATGACTCAAAATGGAAATGAAGCGTTTAATCAACTAATTTGGAACCGATCCCCTAAAACTATATTCACCTCTAAAGTTGTTGTTGAAATGGCTGTTTACTCTGCAACCATTACTTATAATGATGGTTTTGCTAAGTTATCTTCTGTATTTGATGCTCTTAATATTAAATCTGGTAGTTACTTTGAAATTGGTGCAAGTAAAAAAAACTCTATACGGCTGAAAAAAAAGGAACAAAAAAATGTATCCCCTGCCTTGGGGCTCTTGGTTGAGTAAAGGCTAGAGATGGTGTCTCGATAAAAATACTCATCTTGGGCAGATGTTAACTGCATCCAGCTACTGTCTTGTAGAAGGCCTTCTAGGCAAAGACTTTAGGGGTAAGCAGAAAAATTCTGCTAACCAGCCTCGAACCCCTTCTTCATCTATTAGGCTGGCGTAGATGTAACCTGTGTTACATTGTTTCCTGCCTAGGATGATGAATGCTGGATCTCCTTGACTCTACTCATAGAATTTTGCTTATGCCTCCTTGATAATGGCTATGCAACTCTTCCTGTTATCTCCATATGAGGGTACAGCTCTAAAACTCAGTTTAATGGTTCTGAGGCCGGCTGGTAGTAAGGTTTCCCGAACTCTGTGGTAGCTCTCAGAGAGGCTAATTCCATCAACAGCTGCAAAATATCAGAGTATTAACAGTGCCATGTTGCGCATGGATGGTGTCCCTGTTAATGCTTTTGGTGTGCATTGTCAAGGCCACATAAGGAGCCCTATGTCACGGCTTAGGGTTAATTAACAGGACTGAGACAACTGCATAGCTCATTGATTAGGAAGCTGTGCTCTATCTATGAATGAGTCAAGTTCTCATTAAACCCAAATCATGACCAAAGTAACCAAAAATTTAAAACCTAAAAAACCATCCCCACCACCTAAATATTTTAATATATCTTTTACAATTATTCGCGGTCTAAGAAGCAACTTTCCATCAGTTGAGTCTTACCTCCTGCAAAATTCACCAGACTTGCTTGCACTCAGTGAAACAAATTTAAATTCTGCAATTCCTTCTTCAGATGTCAGTGTTGATGGGTACTATCCTTTGATTCGTAAAGACTCCAATAGTCACATGCTAGGTTTAGGGGTATACATACGCATTAATTCCCCTATTTGTCGTGAAATCAGGTTCGAATCCTTTGACCATTCTTTTATATACTTTCGCCTAGCACCTCTTCACTCTATCACCTTTCTCTTTGTTCTTTATCTTTCTCCTTCTTCCCATGATTGTTATCTCTGATCAAATTGACTATGCCCTCTCTCTTTACCCCTCTGCCAATATTGTTGTTGGTGGTGATTTTAATGCCCATCACACTGAATGGCTTGGCTCTAACACCACTGATCCTGCTGGCACTTAAGCCTTTAACTTCTGCGTTTCTCGATCTCTTACTCAAATAGTTAACTTTGTGACTCGTTTTCCTGACAACCCTAATCATTTACCTTCACTCCTTGACTTATGTCTTGTCTCTGACCCTAGCTTATGTTCAGTTTCTCCCTTTTTTCCCTTACGTGGTTCTGACCATGCAATGATCTCTATAAATCTTTCTTCTCGTACTTCTTTTTTGGGCTCACCTTATCATCGCACCACCTACTACTACCCTAAAGCTGACTGGGATTCCTTTCGTGATTTTCTTCGTGATGGTCCTTGGGCTGATGTTTTTTCTCTCTCAGCTGACAAATGCGCATCCTACATTACCTCCTGGATTCAGGCTGGAATAGAAACTTTTATTCCTTCGCGTCGGTTTCAAGTCAAGCCTTATTCTACTCCATGGTTTTCTTCTTCTTGTGCGGCTGCTATATCCAATCGTAATCATTTTTTTCATCTTTTTCAAAAGAACAACTCTCTTGAGAACAAACGGCTATTTATTATTGCAAGAAATTGATGTAAAAAAGTGATTTCTGATGCTAAACTCCATTATTCTCAGTTCACTAAATCTCGCATCTTATCACAGAAGTTAGGCTCTAAAGACTTTTGGAAAATCTTCAACAGCATTATTAACAAGGGTAGATCTAACATTCCATCTCTCATTCATGGGACTAATCTTATTACCTCTCCCAAGGATAAGGCAGA